GAAAGGTCATCAACCTGCTGATTCTTAGATTGCATATGTGAAATCTGGATGAAAATCTTTCCTGGGAGGTGAGCAGGAGGTACACATGTGGGAGGTGTGAGGGGAGAGGGAGAGAAGAGTGGCAAGAGTTTTAGGAAGTGGAAGGGCCTGAGAAGCAGGGGCAGCATGAAGAGCATTGTCAGTGGAGCACAAGAGGAGCCCATTTCCAGAAGAGAGTGGGCGTGGCAGCTCAGGGGCTCCGGAGTTGGAGTAAGATCGAGGAAGGTATCTGTGTTTATCAGCCAAGAGTCATTGTTTACCTTCTGTCATGACATCTAGCAGCACGATAGGATGGCTGCCTAATTGCAATAGTTTGAGGCGAGGAAGGGCATGAGAGTAAAGGAAAACAGCGTGGATGAGTTTTCCTAGTGAAGGGGTTTCACAGAATGTAGGAAATGAGAGTCGTTTTGAGGAGGAGGGAGTGATCAGTGGTGTCTAGTGCAGCAGAACAGTCTTACAACATTCATGGAGAAAATACACGTTGGGTTTGGCTGTTAAGAGGAGGTCAGTGGGGGCAGATGTTTGGCCTGGCGGATGAGATGCCCAGATCCTGGCAGAGTGACGGGGTTTGAGTGCTGGCTCTGTTCCTAATTCCAGCTTCCTTCGAACACATACCCTGGGAGGCAGCAGGGAGTGTTCAAGTGCTTGGGTTCCTGACATGCGCATGGAGACCTGGATTGAATTCCCTGCCTGTGGCTTCAGCCTAGCCTAGTTCTAGCCACTGAGGGAATTTAGGAAGTGAACCAGTGGATAGGAGCTAGGTCAAAGTGTGTCTGTTTGTCTCTCCCTCTGCGTTTCTCTTCCTTTCAACCAAATACATAGATTATTTAAAAACAGGAAGTCTGTGAACCAGGAGCTACGTTCTTGTGGTAGAGTTTCTGAATACTAGACTCTTGGTCACTAGGGAATGGTTGAGAGTTACTGAGTGTGGAAGTGGTATGGTCATAACACTGCTTTCTTGTGTTTCTGGCCACAGATTGAAGATGGGAAGAAGGGTCAATTTAGGCTGGTCGAGGTGTGTAGTAGGAGCCTGGGTCAGGGTGGTGGTGTTGGCAACAGAAAAGATAAATGCAAGAGCTAGTACATACATGCCCCTTTATAACTTGACATCTGTGGGATGTAATGGGCACAGAGTAGCCTAAGAGATGACATTTTAAGATTTTGAGTGTGGGTAATAAGGGAGTAGGAATAGTATTTGTCAAAGCAGGAACATTAGTAGAAGTAAGATTGAAGGGTGGATTAATTTTATATTTTTAAACTTCCTTTATTAACACAGTATAATTGAGTGGCTACTGTGTGTTGGGTATTGTTCCAAACACTAGAGAGACAGCAATGAACATAGCAAACATCCCAGCTTTCATAACATTTAACATTAAGAAATGAGGTAAAGACAGAATAAGTAGATAAAGAACCAGGTAATTTGAGACAAGTAATATGACCCTAGGTGGTGATACAGAGGTGGTGTAAGAGGAGCCACTTCTGGATGGTGTGGTCAAGAATGGCATTTCTAAAGAGGAAAGATTGGAACTGAGACCAGAATACTGCTAAGGAGTCAGCTGTGCAAAGATCTGGGCCTTGACAGCACATGAAAGCTCCCAAAGGAGGAAATGAACTTGGAGGACCAGAGGAAAGGCCAGTGTATCAGGAGCCGAGTGTGCAAAGGAGAGAGTAAGAGAAGATGAGGTGTGAGAAGTTGATGGAATTAAACATAACAGGGCCTTGGAGGTTTTGGTACAAAGTTTGGTGACTTACTGGTAGTAGTGGAAATGAAAGAGAACTAGCAGTATGTTGAACTTGAACTGTCTGTGAGACATCTTGGTGAAGAAGTCAGCGTTACCAGGCTTAAATATATACTTATATTTATACATATGTGTCTGTGTGTATATTGTGTATATATATAAAGATTTATTTATTTGAAAGACAAACACACTCACACACAGAAATCTTTTATCCTCTGGTTCATTCCCCAAATGGCCGCAACAGCCAGGGCTTGACCAGGCCCAAGTCAGGAACTTTATCTGGATCTCCCACATGGGTGGCAGCACTTGGACCATCCTCCACTGCTTTCCCAGACACATTAGCAGGGAGCTGGATGGGAAGTAGAGCAGTCAGGATGCGAATAGGCGCTCCTGTGGAATGCTGGTGTTGCAGGCAGTGGCTTAACCCGCTGTGCCACAATGCCAGTCCCAGGCTTAAATATATTAATTCAAATATGATTTGCCTAGTATTCACTGAAATTACTTGCTAGGTTGTTTAGGCATTGGATAAATAAATGCTCATTATTGGGGGCTTGAGGACCCTTTCAAGGAAATGGTCAAGGGATTTGGGGCATCAGAGATCTCCAGTTCATTAGCATAAGGAAGGTCATCTTAAATATGATTACAGCCTGAGAGGAATGACAGACTGTTACATGAACAATAGCTGGAAAAACTGTGGCCAGAAATAGCTCATGGCATTAGGGGATGGAAAAATACCAACTTGGCATACCTGCACCTCCATCGGACCATGCTGTAGAGATTTTGTGTAGGGTTCTTCAGACAGACTCCCCTTTCCAGGAATGCTTTTTTGTTGTTGCTGTTAATTTATTTTTTCAGTACACTGGGAATATGTTTATCACAGTACTTTCAGAGACATGGTAGTTGGAATGGTTTGCCTCAGCTAAGTCAAGCTTACAGGATCTGGTTTTACAGCTTATGCTAAACTTGTGTGTACTCACTTGATACACTGTGGCATAATTATATTTTACATTTATATACTGCTTCACAATTTATAAAGCCTTCACCCAGGGAAAGTCAACTGGATCTTCATAAACAACTCTTTAAAGCAGACAGGGGACAAGAACTTGAGGGCAGTCAGTATGTAGAGGTCACAACTTCTGGCTTCACTGGCTCTGATTTACTTATTACACCATGTTCCTATAGGTGAATAAAAATGTAAACTTCAGCAGAGGAAGTGAGACACACTCTAGACTGAAACAGTGACAAAATATTTTTACAATTGGCCCTTTGTATCTGCAGGCTGCACATCCAAGGATTCAAACAGCCACAGATTGAAATTATTTGGGGAAAAAAGTGATGTCTGTACTGAGCATGTGCAGACTTTCCCCCCGTGTCATTCCTCCTTAAGCAATACCTTATAACAGGTGCTTCCATAGCATTTGGAAGAATGTGAAATGGTGTGTATAGGTTACATGCATATACTATACCACTCTGTGGAAAGGATTTTGGTGTCTGTGGGCATTCTAGAACCAGTCTCCCACAGATGCCAAGGGACAGCCCCAATGTGTTCTAGTTGTGGCTACTACCAAAGGGTTCAGAGCACTGTGGATACACAGAGGAAAGTGAGTTTGGCTTTGGGTAGGTCAGAGGTTGAAAAGTATGGGCTCATTGTTTAGAAAATGTGTGCTTTTTTCCTGCAGTTGATAATTTTGACCTTCTTCTCTAGGTTGTACCATGCATTTTAAGTACTAACTAGTACAGCTTTCAAGTAAACCCATTTACAGTTTGCACCCAGAACCTACAAGTTTGTCTCTGCTAGCGTATTTTAATCTTATATTGCCACTCAATTCATTAGAGACTAAAAGTCGTTAACATGCGTTAACCAACTCTGGGTCCGGTTCTGTGAAAAGGGATTTGTGAGAATTGACTTATTGAATCCTTACATCAGTCTCTGAGGTAGAAGCATACCTTCAAAGATTGGTGCTTTCTTTTCAGTTCATTCACATACTACCCACACACCTAGTGGGTAGACTGGAGAACTGTGTGAAAGAAAGGGTGGGAGGCCACAATTGTGGCTCCATCTGTGAAGCTGCCCTTGCAACACCAGCATCCCTTATCAGAGTGCCAGTTCAAGTCCAAGCTGTTCTGCTTCTGATCCAGCTCCCTGCTAATGCACCTGGGAAAGCAGCAGAAGATGGTCCCAGTACTTGGGCCCCTACCACTTATGTGGGAGACTCAGATGAAGCTCCTGGCTCCTGGCTTTGGCCTGGCACAAACCTGGCTGTTGTAGTCATTTGAGGAGTAAACTGGCGGATGGAAGATATTCTCTCTCTCTCTCTCTCCCTCTCTCTCTCTTTCTCTCTTTGATGTTCTGCCTTTCAAATACAACTTTAATAAAAAAAAATTTTTAAGAAGAAGAAAGGGTAAATTATAAAGTGTACTCAGCTGTAAATCAGGATGAAATTAAACTGTACAAATAGACTTTTTTGGTCATAATATGTGTGATTAATTTTATTTATCCATAATTAAAGAAGCCAAATTTTTCATAAGTAGAGATGAAATCTAAGCATATAACCTGAGTGGATAAAGGAATAATATCCTTTATATTATATATTATTATATATAAATGTCCTAAATAAGTTATATAATAATGTCTTGTTAGTATATTGAGAATAAGCCATAATTGTGTTTGACATATGGAAGATCACTTAAGTCTGTGTATACTGAAAAAAATGACTGATCAGCAGAAGTGTTTGCTTAAACTACTTAGAAATGAGAATTGTCTATAAAACTTAATACTTTGTTCAGTTAGTTTTCATTCCTGTGTTTTCTTGGTGTGAGACATTTACTTCCTGTGGAAATGGTAATAATGCTTTGTGTTTATATAGCATCTTAACCTGAAGATCTCAAACTGCCTTTTCAGACATGTAGTTAACGCTCACAGTATTTCAGGAAGGTGGGTGGGTGGCATTTTACAGAGAGAGAAATTAAGCCACAAAGAAAGTTAAATGATTGATGTGTAATCTCAACTGCAGAAGGAGGGGATCTGAGCCACTGATTAAGAATGTTATTTAGGAGGATTGGCATAGTGTAAGTCCTTAACCCCTTTGCTTTTGTACTTTATACAAGTTATTAGAAAACAATATGCTAGCTTTACAGTGTCCACAGGGAATGCTTCTTATATATCATTTCTTTAGGAATAGAAAATATGAGAGTACTCTCTTCTGTTTTTTTCCCTTTCAGGTCAGCAGCAAGGACAAGATGGAGTAAAAGTCCAGCAGGCTACTATAGCTCCTGTAACTGTAGCCGTTGGAGGAATTGCTAATGCAACGATAGGTGCTGTTAGTCCTGACCAACTCACACAAGTGCATTTGCAGCAAGGCCAGCAAACTTCCGACCAGGAGGTGCAACCTGGCAAGAGGCTTCGAAGAGTTGCATGTTCCTGTCCTAACTGCAGGGAAGGAGAAGGCAGGTAAATGCTCTGTTTTCAACTCTCTGTCTCTGGGAGGCATACTGGGTACTTAGATCACTGGAACCTCACTCACTGCCTTTGTAGCCTGGAAATTGAGATGTGCTGTTATGAGGGAATTAACTTGAGCTCTTCCAGGAATGGCATTGGAATGGTCCTCTACTTTGTACCTTATGCTGTTTTTTAAAATGGGGTTTTTTCATTTATTATATAAATTTCCAAAACACTTTTTTAAGAAGACTTATTTATGGGCCGGTGCCGGGGCTCACTTGGCTAATCCTCCACGTGCGGCACCGGCACCCCGGTTTCTAGTCACTGGTTGCTCTCTGCTGTGGTCCGGGAGGGCGGTGGAGGATGGCCCAAGTGCTTGGGCCCTGCACCCGCATGAGAGACCAGGAGGTAGCACCTGGCTCCTGCCTTCGGATTGGCACAGCGCACCAGCTGCAGCGCATCGGCCATGGTGGCCATTTGGGGGGTGAACCAATGGAAAAAGGAAGACCTTTCTCTCTGTCTCTCTCTCTCTCACTGTCTAAGTCTGCCTGTCAAAAAAAAAAAAAAAAAAAAAAAAAAGACTTATTTATGAAAATCAGAGTTACACAGAAGGGAAGGCAGAGAGGTCTTCCATCCACTGGTTCACACCCAGTTGGCCACAACGGCCAGAGCTGTGCTGATCCGAAGCCAGGAGCCAGGAGCTTCTTCCGAGTCTCCCACACAGGTGCAGGGGCCCAAAGACTTGGGCCATCTTGTACTGCTTTCCCAGGCCATAGCAGAGAGCTGGATTGGAAGTGGAGCAGCTGGGACCTGAACCAGCACCCATACGGGATGCCAGCACTGCAGGCAGTGGCTTTATCCGTTGCACCACAGTTCCAGCCCCAATCCAAAACACTTTCATTGATAAAAAATTCACACATCAGAGGCGGGCATGTGGCCTAACAATTAACATGCTGGTGAGGGTGCCTGCAACCCCTTATTAGAGTACCTGTATTCAATACCTGATTTCACTCCTGACTACAGTTGTTGTTGTTTTTAAGATTTATTTATTTATTTGAGAGGCAGAGATACAGAGAGGGAGGGAGAGACAGAGAGAAAGACCTTCCATCAACTGATTCACTGCTCAGATGGCCACAATAGCTGGGGTTGGGCCAGACCAGAGCCAGGAACTTCATCCTGGTCTCCCGCATGGGAGGCAGGGGCACAAATACTTGGGCCATCTGTTGCTTCCCCTGGCTCTTTCACAGGGAGCTGGATCAGAAGTGGAACATCCTGGACTCGAACTGACATCCTGCACCACATCACCAGACCCCTGACCACAGCTTCTGACTCCTGCTGGTCTTGTGGGACTACAATGATGCCTCAAGTACTTGGGTCTCTGCCACCCCAGCAATAGATCTGCATTGAGTTCTCAGCTCCTGGTCCAGCCAGAGTCTGTTGTGGGCATGGGAGGCATGAACAGTAGATAGGAGTCTCTCATTTGTCAGCTTACTCACTCATTCCACAAATATCCAAAAAAGAAACATTTATTTAAAAAAAACTCAACATACTATTTACCCATTTACAGTTTACAATTCAGTTGTTTTTAAAATGTATACATTCACCGGGTTATGTAGCTGCCACCACTGTCAATTATATCATCCTCAAAAGAAACCATGTATTCTTTAACTGTCAACTCGCTACCTCTCCCAGTCTTCAGCCACCACTAAATTAATTTCAGCTTTCAGGTATTTATTCTGCACATTTCCTATAAATGGAACTGTATCATACGCGGTCTTTTGTGACTGGTTTCTTTCATTTAGCATAATATATTTGAGGATCACCCACATGATAGCATGGTCATTACTTCATTCCTTTTTTTGGGTGAGAAGTATGCCCCTGCATGGACACATGGTACTTTGTGTTTCCCATCATCTGATGAGCTTTTACATTATTTCCACCCATTGGCGATTATGAGTGTTACTGCTATAAATGTGTCTAGAAGTGTCTATGTAGACACACATTTTCATTTCTCTTGGGTGTATACCTAGGAACAGAATCTCTGAATCTTATGGTAACTCAATGTTTAACCATTTAAGGAGCTGCCAGACTGTTTTCCCAATTGGTCACACCATGTTACATTCCTACGAGCGTATATGAGGGTTCCAGTTTCTCCATATTGTTGCCAACACTTGCCATTATCTGTTTTTCATTATAGCTGTCACAATAGGTCTAAACTGGTATCTGCATGTGGTTTTGATTTGCATTTTCCTGATGCTTATTGGTGGTAAACATATTTTCACATGCTTGTTGGCCATTTTTGCATCTTTGGAGAAATATCTATTTAGATCCTGTGTCCATGTTTAGTTGTATTGTTTGTCTTTTTATTACTGAATTGTAATAGTACTTTATATATTCTAGATATAAGTCCCTTAGTTAGATACATGATTTAACAAATATTGTCTCCCATTGGGTGGGTTGTGTTTATATACTGTTTTGATAGTGTCTTTTGAATTTATTGAAGTCCTGTTTTTTCTAATTTTTTCCCCTTTGCTTGCTACTGCTTTTGGTGTCATATCTAAGAATCCACTGCCAAAACTCAGATCATGAAGATTCCTAGTTTTCTTTTGAGAGTTTTGTAGTTTTTGTTCTTATATTTAGATCTTTCATCAATTTGGGATTAATTTTTGTTTATATTGTATGAGTTCATTTTCTGGTGCTATAACAAAGTACCTGAAGCTGGGTAATTTTATAGAAGAGAGGTTATTTAGTTCCTCGTTTTGGAGGCTCAGAGTCCAAGACTGGCTTGTTCTGTCTGGCCTGCCTCTGAACAGCCAAGTGCATGGGGAGACCTTGCTTTATAATAACCCACTCTTGCAAGAATTAACTCACTCTACAAAACCAACATTAATCCCTTCTGAGGACAGTGCCAGTGACCTGATTAACTCGCACTAGGCTCCACCTCTTAAAGGTTCCAACACTCTCAACATCGCCATGCTGGGGACCAAGCTTTCAGCACATGAACCTTTGGGACACAAACAACATCCAAACCATAGCATATGGTGTGAGGTAAGGGTCTGTCCAACACCGTTTGTTGAAAAGACTGTCCTTCTCCCCATTAAATGGTCTTGGCATCTTTGTAAAAAATAGTTAACCATGACACATGGGTTTATTTCTGAACTCTCAGTCTTGTTCCATCTACCTGTATTTGAGTACCACACTGTCTTGATTACTTAATTTGCCTTTGTAATAATTTTCAAAAGCAGAACTTGTTATTTGTCAAAAATTGTTTTGGCTACATTTCCATGTGAATTTTGTAATCAGATCATCAGTTCCTATAAGAAGTCAGATGGGACTCTGATAGAAACTACATTTAATCTGTAGGATTAGTATGCAGAGTGTTACATACTTAAGAATATTAAGTTTTGATTCTGTTTATTTAGATCTTCTCAAATTTATTTATTTTGTTCATCAGTGTCTTATAATTTTCAGAATGTAAGATACTGTCCTTCTTAAATTTATCCCTCTGTTCTTTGATGCTTCTGTAAATGGAACATGGTTGTTCATATTAAGTTTATAGAAATATGTTGATTTTTATATGTTGATTTTATGTACTGTATGTTTTGTAAGATCATGGCATCTATGAATAGTTTTATTTCTTTCCATTCTGGAGTAAGTCTGTTTTTCTTGCTTAATTACTCTCTCTAGAACAACATTGAGTAGAAGTGTCAGAAGTACACATCCTTATTCTAATTTTGGGGGGAAAGCATCTGGTGTTTTAAGGGTAATGTTAGTTCTGGGGCCCTTAATTTCAGAAAGCACCCTTCTATTCTTATATTGTTGAACACTTTTATCATAAAACGATATTGGGTTCTCTCGTGCTTTTCTGCATTTGTTGTGATGATTTCATGGCCTTTTTTGTTAATATTTATTTATTTATTTATTCATTTTGCAAGCGTTACAAAGAGAGAAGGAGAAATAGGCAGTGATCATCCACAGGTTGATTCTCCAGATGGCCACAACGGCCAGCACTGGATCAGGCCAAAGCCAGGAGCCAGGAGTCTCATGCGGGTCTCCCATGTGGGTGGTAGGGGCCCAAACACTTGGGCCAACTTCTGCGACTTTTCTCTGGCTGTTTGCAAGGAGCTGGATCAGAAGTGGATCAGCTGGGACACGAACTGGTGCCCATGTGAGATACCAGCATTGGAGGTGGATGCTTTATTCACTGCACCACAATGCAGGTTTTTGCTTTTTGTTCTGCTAGTATAGTTTGCTACATTAATTGATTATCAGATATTAAAGCACTTATGTGTTCCTGGCATAAAGCCAACTTGGTTATGATATATAAGGGGCCTCCAAAAAGTTTTTGGAAAATGTTCATAGAAAAGCTATGCATGGATTTCAGAATTCTTCTTCAACAAAATAGACTTATGTTTTGATTCTGTTTTTCCGCACAGTTCTTGAAGTACCTCTATAATTTTTTTGTATGTGTTGCTAGGTTTAGTTTACTAGTATTTTGTTGAGGATTTTTACATCCATACTCACAAAAGACACTGGTCTTTAGTTTGCTTTTCTTGTAGTTTTGCTTGTCTTTATCTGGTTTTGGTAACAGTTATACTGGCTCCACAGAGTAATTGGGAAGTATTCCCTTCAGTTGGAATTTGTGAAGAACTGGTGTTATTAAGATGTTTCATGTTATTAAATGTTTCAGTGAAGCCATCTGGTTCTGGGCTTTTCCTGTGAGCAGTTTTGATTATTAATTCAGTCTGTTATTTATTATGCTTGACTGTTTTTGAGTCCATTTTGATATTTTGTGTCTTTCTAGAAATTTGTCCATTTCATCTAGATGTTACCTAAGTGATTATCATAGAATTATTCATAGTGTTCCTTTAAAACTTTTCTGTTTTTTTTATATTCCCTTTTCCATTTCAGATTCTATTAATTTGAGTGCCCCCCTCCCCCAGTCTCTCTAGCTAAAGGTTTGTTCTTCCCACTGGCATTTTCTAAGAATCATTGTGTTTGGGACTTATCCTGACCATAGCAGGACTCCTCTTTTCTCACATGGGCAAAGCAGCTGGCCTCCAGTTTAGCCTCTGTCTCCAGTGGATCCATTATCTCCTCCTAGTGGAAATTATAGCAATTTCCCCCTTTTTTTGAGAGCACCTTTAGGCTTGAACTTCTCTATACTTTGTTGCAAATTAAGTCTGTTCTTTGGGAAGAGACTTAGAACCCTGTTTTACGGTGCACTTCTTTCTCTGGCCAGGATTCTGAGTCTTGGGTCAAGTGTGGTGTTGAGACAATGATACCTTTCTCTCTGCTTTGGAAGCTGAGTGCTTGGTGTTGGGGGCAGCACCAGATTTTCTTGGCTTGTCGCTCCTGGCATAGAAATTCCAGTTTATGAACTGTGGATGAGCCAGGTCAGAGGTCATGTGGACCACAGCATTTTCATCACGTTATATCCAAGGTACAACCTGATGTCCTGGGGTGGGGGCTAGGTGAAAGAAGGAAAGGTACCATTCAAGAGGACTCACCTAGAACATCATCTCAGCAGCGGGTAGCTGGGTAGCATGAGAAATGCTGGCTTCCTGCCCCTTCTGGAAAATTGTCCTTTGACTGTAGGAAGAAGATAGGATACCTTTTCTTGGCTGTAGCAGTCTATAGTATACCTGTGTCATGGAGATGGGAAGGGAAAGAATGAGTTTCGGTTCAAATATCAGACTCTCACATTGCTTGCATGCTCTGTTACGTTTTCTTGAACAATTTTTTTTTTTTTTTAATTTGCTACTGTTTGCTCTTAGGACCATTTCTAGAGACTCTAAGTGGTGATTTTTGTTTCTGTCATTGTTAGCAGTTTCACTGGAAAGCAGGGCCCTGGCACTCCTCTCGCTGACCTGTTGAGATTGAAGCCCACACCTACACTGTTCACTGGAGTTAGCCATCCTTTGGTCTTTCAGAGGAAAGTCTTCAAATGTCTTGAAAAGCTGAAAGAGATTATTTCTTCCCCAAGAAGGAACCTACCAGGAAAGGAACACGGAATCCATAATAGAGCATAAACTCTCTGAGAGTGACACAATTTTGTAGACGTTCTGTGTTTGGTACATGGACCTGCTTTATTTTTTCTTTAATCAAACATTTTTTGATTTTAACTTGGGCTGTGGCACCATGATCAAAAAACCCATTCAGAAAGGCATCAGTTAATTAACCTGATTCCCTTTATTTCTCCGTATTGTGAGCTCTGTGCCAGGAAGTGTAATTAATATTTGGCTTTGTTGTTGTTATTAGAGGCAGTAACGAACCAGGAAAAAAGAAACAACACATCTGTCATATTGAAGGATGTGGTAAAGTTTATGGCAAAACATCTCACCTACGAGCACATCTTCGCTGGCATACTGGAGAAAGACCTTTTGTCTGCAACTGGATGTTTTGTGGCAAAAGATTCACCAGGAGTGATGAGCTTCAGAGACACAGAAGAACCCATACAGGTTAGTTGGCTTTCTTAGGACTTGTGCCTTTTACTTACTTTTTCAGTGCTTAGATGAGTTTTGATGATAGGTCAGCTGTCACTCACAAATTGGAAATATGCTGATTCAGGAGAAATAAATTCACTTTAGTGTTATACGGAAGGTGTTTAAGATCAAAAGTCTATACTTTATTTCAGAGAAACATTTTATTCTATTTTTTGTAAGCTTTATTAGCATGTTTACATGACTTAGGATCTGTTCCTTTTTTTTACAGTTTTGTATTTGTTACATGATGAACTCACATTTTTCATGTTTAAGTAGGTAAAAATAAAGTTGAATTATGATATTGGTGACCTTCATTCTTTTTCAAACAAATCCAAAAAATTCCCCAATCCTCACTCAAAGTTATATTTTCTGTTACTTTTAAATAAAACAAATCATTTCTAACTAAACTCAACATCATCTTTGCCCTTCCATCTCTCAGAGAAAACAGCTACCATGAATTAATGTGTCTTACGTTTTCGGTACATTTTTTAATAATGCTAACATACTCACAGATCTAATAATAATCTAATAATGCTAACATACTCACATACACATTGTTTTGTGTGTGTTTCAAGCATAATTTGTTAGAGGATTATAACATCAGTTATGTTTTGAGCTCTGCCCAAGTTCATATATACGAGGGTACTTCAAAAAGTTTGTGGGAAGTGGAATTAAAAGATGTTTGTTTTGGTGCAAAAATTTTTGAAATCCATGCAAAGTTTCTTAATAATATGCGTTTTTGGTGAACATTTTGAACGTGTGCGTGGATTTCAGAAATTATTGCACCCATTTTTTTTTTTTTAATTTTTTTTATTTGACAGAGTTATAGACAGTGAGAGAAACAGAGGGGAAAGGTCTCCTATCCATTGGTTCACTCCCCAAATGGCCGTTACGGCCGGTGCTGCGCCAATCTGAAGCCAGGAGCCAGGTACTTCCTCTTGGTCTCCCATGCAGGTGCAGGGGCCCAAGCATTTGGGCCATCCTCCACTGCCTTCCCAGGCCACAGCAGAGAGCTGGACTGAAAGAGGAGCAACCAGGACTAGAACCCAGAGCCCATATGGGATGCTGGCACTGCAGGCGGAGGATTAACCTAGTGAGCCATGGCACCGGCCCTGCACCCATTTTAATTACTGTAGGTTTATAGCAAGTACTGACATCTTATAGGCAATTTCCTTTCTTTTGTTTCTTTCTGCTTCTTTTCTTTCTTTCCTCTCTCCCTTCATGCCTCCATTCATTGCTTCCTTCCTTCCTGCTCTCTTCTGTGCACAATGTGCCTGGGATGTATTTGGGACTTAAAATTTAATTATTGAATAAATGATTGAATTAGGTTTTACAGATGTTTTCTTCTGCCAAGATGCACATGGATAAAAGGTGAAATAGAACTAGCATTTTTTGATCATCTCTTATATATGAGATTTTTAAAATATTTGACTTTTACAGCAATAGTGTGTTAGAATGAGCTCCATTTGATGGATTAGAAAATAAAATAATCTCAAAAAAATAGATGTGAAATCTATTAAAATAATGTTAAAATACCTGTTTTTTACACACACACACATACACATACACAAATTAGTAATACAAATGAGTATTACTATATTGTCTGAAGCCCTACGAGAGTTAGCATTACACTAGAGCTATGAAATTTAATTTTCAAAACTTCTAAAACATTTCTCTGTAGTACTGTGTTGGGACTTCTAATAGCACCTCACTCTTGACATTGGCAAATGTGATGTGATTAAAGTTAATCCCATAACAATGCTGATGTCTGTTTTAGAAAAATACTCTGCTATTTTTGTCTGTAAGAGAGGATTCAGTATTTCCACCCTGGATTATCAGTGGATAGGTTAGGCAAAGGTTAGGGAAGGCAAGACAAATTGCCACTTTGTTTGACTTGAATCTCACATTGGGATTGCATCATTTTGTCTGAGAAATGTGAGTTTGTAAAGTTCTCCATCATACATCTGCATTCTATTCAGAAAACATTTGTTCAAGGCTTTATATACATTTATATATATTCATGTTAACAGTAAAAATATTAAATGTAGCAACAATATACTTAGAGTGTTTACTTTTAAAGATATAACTGAGTAACTTCTATGTGAAAAAGAGTATCTTTTGAAGTAACTAAGTATTGATTAAGCATTTAATATGATAAGTTGAAAGCTTTCACCATTCGTGGCAAAAGCCATATTTCATTCAGTGTCTAATCACTGTTATAAGGAGAAGTATATTGACTTGCTGTAAGTGAATAAATGCTTACATTCTCTTCTGTAAGCTCTGCTCTCTTTTTATAGCTTAGTTATTAAAGCTGAAAAATCAGTAAATGATTACATTATGACTGTGCATGTGAGCTCTTCCAAAAGTTCATGAAAAATGACACTTTTTTTAAAGATTTTATTTACTTATTTGAGAGGTAGAGTTAGAGAAAAAGGGAGAGATAGAGAGAAAAGTCTTCAATCCATTGGCTAACTCCCCAAATGGCCAAAACGGCTGGAGCTGAGCCAATCCAAAGCCAGGAGCTTCTCTCAGGTCTCCTTCATGGGTGCAGTGGTGCAAGCACTTGGGCCATCTTCCACTGCCTCCCCATGCCACAAGCAGAGAGCTGGATCAGAAGAGGAGCAGCCAGGACACAAACTGCCCACATGGATGCTGGCTCTGCAGGCAGAGTCGTAGCCTACTATGCCACAGCGCCCGCCCCAACCATTATCTTTTTAATTCCTTTTTTCCATGAACTTTTCCAAGGACTCTGAAAATGAACTAAAATTGCATTTTTCTTGCTTGTCTAACTTTATCACCTCCTTATTTCGAATTTTAAAGAATACTTTTCCTTATTCTGGGAGAACTTTCTGTCTTTCTAATTGAACAAGAAGTGATTCTTCTGTAGGGTTGCTGCACAGAAATAATCTAAGACTTTTCTTCTCTGTTCTCTGGTTCAGATCTTCCATTGGCTCTCAAGATTTCTTTTTCCTATTTTTTAAAGTCTACTTTCTTAATTGCTACAAAACATTGTGAAATGCGTGTAGCAAAGATGAGGAAATAAATTGTCTGCAAAGTTCCTTATTTTGCTTTTCCTTCTTCTGATTTCATGTGTTGGCCAATACAGTATGCTAGATTGAAAATTTTATTTTCTGAAAACACCAGTGGCAAGGATTTTTTTTTCTTTTTTTCCTTTTTGGTCCTCCTCCATCTGTTTCACTAATGAGAAGTCAATTTTATTTTTTTTAGACTTACTCATTTATTTGGAAGGCAGAGTTCCAGAAAGAGAGAGAGGGAGGTTCAGAGAGAGAGGTCCTCCATCTGCTGGTTCACTCCCCAAATGGCTGCAACTACTGGAGCTGGGCTGATCGAAAGCTAGGAACCAGGAGCTTCCTCCGGGTCTCCTATGTGGATGCAGGGGTCCAAGACTTGGGCCATCTTCTTCTGCTTTTCCAGACCATAGCAGAGAGCTGGATCAGATGTGGAACAGCTGGGACATGAAACAGTGCCCATATGGGATGCTGGCACGGCAGGTGGCGACTTAAGCTGCTGTGCCACGGTGCTGGCCCCAAGAAGTCCATTTTTAATATTTCTTGTTTTTGTTTTTGTTTTTGTTTTTGTAGGTGACCTGCTTTTTTTCCCCTACAACTTATTTATTTATTTTGGTAAATGCTAGGCTGCATCTATGACAGTGGGCCCATGAGAGTAGAGCCCACACCATCTAAGTGTGTGTAAGTACACCCTGTGATTGATGGCCACACGGCCATGAGATCTGTACGGACACGTTTCTCAGAACTTGTCCGCATCGTCACAACACATGGCTGTATTTACTACTTCTTATTTTGATATCACTTTGTACTGTGAAAGAGCTGCGGAGAAGTTACAGAGTTCTCATTTACCCTTCGTTAAGCTTCCCTCAGTGCTAAATTCTTACATAACCACAATAACTTACAAAAGCTGAGAAATTCACGTTGTTCTACTGTTAATTACACTACAGACTTTGTCACCATATACCTTTTCTGTCAGGATTCAGTATACAGTAACACTTTGCATTTATTTATCATGGCCTTTCGGCCTCCTGTGATCTGTGGTGTTTCCCAAGACTAAGTTTGTTTGTTTTTTTTTTTTTCACCTCAATGCGCTCAGATTATTTTGTACAGTGTCACTCAAAACATTGTGTGATGTTTTCTCCCGAGGAGACTGAGGTTATGAATTGTTGGGAGGAACGTCCCAAGTGTTGACGCCTTTCTCTTTATGACATATGAGGGGAGCACATAATGTGAACGTGTCTTGTTATTGCTGTTGTTAACCTTGATAAATTGATCAGGGCAGTGTTAAAGTTCCTGTATTAGTCTGCTGGTTGTTAACTTTAAAATACCTGAGAAGTACTATTAAAATACCTGAGAGGCGCTATTTAGGAAGGAAGAAAGTTTGTTTTTGTTCCCATTTTGGAAGTTCACAGCCCAAGATCAGGTGGCCCTATTGGTTCAGGCATCTGGGGAAGCTGTGGATACAGAGGGGTGCTGACATGGTGAGCCAGGAGCAGAGAGACAGGTGACACACGTGGCTTATAACCTGCCCTGGGACTCCTCTTCTGAGGGCAGGCCTCCAGTGACCTCAAGACTTCTCTCCAGTCCCACTTCCTAGAAGCAGTCATTACACCAGGTCTGCACCCGTGATCCACGAACCATTAACCCTTAGCATCAGACTTTAGGGTTTAAACATTTGCAAAAGTTTGGGGAGCTAAATCCTGTTCAGATCATAACTTTCTATCCAAAACTCATGACCTGCTGCAGATAATCACATGACCATATAATCACATTTTCATCATATTATCAGTCCTTCCCAAATGCCCCCAAATCTTCACTCAGTCCAATATTGGTTCCAAAGTTCATAGTCTCATCTCTGCGGTCAAAAATAAGTTATATACTTCAAGATACAATGGCAGAACAGGTGTCTACATTTCCATTCCAAAAGGGGGAGACGGAAATACAAAG